CTTGGGTGATCTTTTGCTCCTGTGTGTTTTGAAGTATCATGATATTCTATAGCTTTCTTCCCCTAACTGCTTCTATATCACTATAAGTGTACTTCCTTTCATTTTCCCCCTTTCTGTGGGTACCAGTGACCATACTCTTATAACCATGTTTGATTCATTTTTGAATCCTTTGCACTAAGATTGTGTTTGGCACATAAACATTCTACCTGTGAATGAATTTTCTTATATAACATGTGGTAGTACAAATATTACTAATATATATTATATCGCTCTGCTAAAGGTTATAGAAGGAGTGGGAAATAGTCTTCCTGTCAGTGTGCTCTCTGTGGTCAAATCATATAAACTTATCAAGCTTCCTTATAAGTTGTTTGTGTACCAAGTCAAAAATTATCTAAATTATCAAAAGTCCATTAATATTAACAAACATATGAAGGCATTCCTAAGAGTAGCATTACTTTCCTTAGAAGATGTTTCTAGTTTGAAAATACTTAGGAAACCTCATTGCTCAAAAGCGTATGTAAATCTGTTAATTCCCAATTTCCCTTTCAAATTAAAGAGCTGCAATAGGGAATCTGATATATTTGCTATAAATAAAGCCGTTATTGCTATTAATATCATTCTGTAAAATCTGGCTTCTTGAATTACTAATGATAAACATGTAAGTGCCATTTTCTGTTTGTAAATTGATGACAATGCAAAAGTTCAAATAAATTTAATTTTAAATAGCAAATCAGCAATAAAGGGAACATTTTCACAGCTGAGTGGGTATATTTCTCTAGAATGAAATCACAAGAAAATAATCCTGGTTCTTTTGCCTTCCACCTTTCTAACTTTGGCAAGTTTCTTAAGTCTTTTCTGACTTCTTCATGTATAAAAGGGAATATTATAGTGCAGATGTAAGATTAAACAAGACCACATTTATAAAATGCTTAGAGTACTAACTAGAATACAGTAGTTCTCAAGAAATAAAAGCTACTGTTAACTAAAGACGTTGAAATGTTTTTGAGATTCTGTGATAAAACAGATTTTTTTGTCCTTGGATGTCCAGTTAATCATATGAAGGAATCTATGTGCAATGAAGGAGTTTGAGCACTTAGAAATCAAGAGAAGTTGTAGGAGAGTACATGACTGATGGGAAATAACTTGTGTGAAACTATAACCTTGTTATAGATTAAGGGGCAAAAAACTTTAGACGATGCAGATCAAGAGCAGGTCTCTTAGAACAAAAGATGACGAAGACAGAGAAACATAAAAATGATGTCTTAAATCTTTAGTTTATAAACTAGTAGCAATTTTGGGAGTCTCTGATCTAACCTGTGAACACATCAGAAGTTTGAGTTGCCTTTCAATAAGATGAAATCACAGATATATTAAGGTAGCCTCAGCCATGTATTTGATTTTAATAAAACCCTTGATTTTCTTTTTAGCCAAGTAAGAAGCTGGCCACATTTTCTAATAAAAATACACTTGTTGGCATTTTTCTGAGGCACTCTTATCTCAAGTTGAAGACATACATGCTCAATTCATGGAGGAAACATCTGTGCTGTGGTTTGCCTTCTTTGTCTTCTTGTGAAAATACTACACTGAAGGGAAATGGTTAAAATAGCAATAAGAAATTTCTAACTTAACATTTAGCACCAAATATAGGTGCAAGATTAATAGACTGGTGTTCAATGCTTCCCTAAGACACACTTCAAAACTGAAAAATATATGGCTCTGTTATATCTGTCTTTAGAAGGAACCACCAAGAAACCCAGTAAAAGCCACTGTGAGAAGTAATTTGTGGGCTTCCTGACGCATCAGGCTCATTATTGTGATCTAAGGTATCAGCCTTTGATACTTCTTGTGATTTTCAGGTAGGTCATTAATGAAAGTTGTAAAAAAGAATGACCATGAAATCAGTCTTTGAGATTATTAACATATTCTCAATACAGATGTTGTTGAGTGAATGACTGTGTTTTGCTGTATGAAAATAAAAACAACCAGCCTGGGTAAGGAACGTAGTTCAGGTAGTCATCCTAAAATATGCATCACCCCTACATCCGGAATGCAGTGATTACTGCCCACAGCTGTAGAAATGTCCCTTAGGTTACAGTTGTTTAAAATATGTTTTCCAAATATAAGTATTCAATGATTTATGATCTCTTAAATCAATGTATATTTGTAATGTTCCTGGTTTTGGCTAGAGTCAATGGGTAAATAGGTTAGATGGTTCTGAAGGGGAAATGCCAAAGTAATTCTTTGGAATTAACTAATGGGGACTCTACCAAATTATGTCCAAATACTTTGAGTTGGTCCACAGGGCTCAATACTATAGGAGGCTTTTTGGCTGACCACAGTACCGGCTTCAGTCTGTTTCCAGTGGGGAAAGATAACACTGTTACGCTTACAGAAAACACTTCCCACGTTGAAGGCATAACAGCTAGACTGCCACAATCTTTTCTATGCTCTTTTCTTGAATGCTCAAGATTTCTAAAAACACCTGGATGTATATTTAGTATGTTCAGAGTAATCAAATCTTCTGAATATATGAAGTCTTGAGAAGTTTTGGCTGTATTTCCAAACTCCCACTCAGAAAATCTATCATAGATGACAGAGATGTGCTGTTCCTTTTTTTCTTTTGTCAGTGTAAATTTGGTTGAACAAGGGAACTATAGAGATCATGTTACTAACTTTTACCAATTTATCAGGTATTTTTATGGATCCACAAAGCAAGTCTAGAGAGGGTCTTAAAAAAGTAATCTGGTATAGCCTGCTGCCTCTAGGCAGGTGACATTTAGGACAAATTGTTCTGATTTCATATGGGAGTATAAAGGAGAGGATGACCTTGTTCAAAGTGCATTGTATGCATCTATTAATTAGTATGCTATTAATGTATGCTAATTAAAAAGCAAAATATTAAAAAAATTTACTGATCTCATACTGATAAGCTACATTTGAACATATTTCATTACTGAATCAATTTAGCAGGAACACAGATCTGTTACATGAACATTGAATAAAATGCTAAGAGAAATGCATGGTTATTCGAACCTTAAGTACATATCTGGTCTTGGTTCTAATGGGAATTCATTATATATCTACCAATAAAATTTTCTTCCAAAGCAATTAGTCTACTAGATGTAAAATATCCAATTGAAAAAGAGGGTTCAAGAGTTAATAAACTCATGACTATCCATGTCATCCTGTTTGTAAGGACACTATTGATAGATGTCAAGACAAATAGGATTACAGACAAAATACCATCATTTTTAGAGTTAGATCTGCTGGATCTGAGACAAGAAGAGAAGGATTAAAGGACTTAAGATGTGCTGTTGTATCCATAGCTGAAAACAGCTATCAAGTGTCAGCAGGGAAAGAACGTTCTTTTTAGTTTGGTGGCCAAAAATATGTTGACATTGCCTCTGGAACTGTAATTTTTAATTGGTTTTAAAGTCTGGAATGAAACATTCCTATAGTCATCCATGAACCCACCTTATTCTGCAGAACTTGAATGAATCTTGGCCAACCATCTGCCTGTCTTATTGGGGCCCCTGATGGGACAGAGAGTACTTGTCATGTAGTAGTTCCATATCAAATTACAGTCCTTCATAATGCTGCTTGAGCAGACAATGCAGAAAGAGAAAAAAATCTCCACAGAGAAAAATCAAATGCCTTCACTAATATGCCTTGCTACTGAATAGAACTTCAAGGCAGAAATTACCCTTTGTTTTTGTCCACACCCTAGCATGATGGTCTCCAAAAAGAAGTAAAAAGCTTATTTTGTAGATGAGAGACAATTGGGCACATAGATTGCAGTACTGTTAAGGCCAAACAAGGTATATTAAGATTGATTTAACTTAGAATTTCACTGTCACTCCAAATTTCCATAAGTTCTGTTTGGATTCTCTTGAAACGTGCACAGCATGAAATAAGCATGGAATAAGGGATTGTTCTTACCAGTGCCAAGGATGCTTGGATCCACTCGGCCTTTACCACAGAGAACAGGGATAAGGGAGAAAACTAAGTGGATTTCTCAGCAACTCCTGACTCCTCAAACAGGAAAACCTGTTGTGGATGAAAAAGGTAGTCCAAACTACCTCGTAAATTAAAACCCAACTTGCTCAGCTTGGAAGTATTTGAAGTTAAGCCTCACCAAGAATTCCCAGCACTTGAGCTTGAATGGCTGCCTGATAAGTGAGAAAGATGTAAGAGCTAGAAAATCAAGTTTGGCTGCTAATAATAAAATAATAATAGTTGTTTTAATATAGAGCATTTCAACCTTTCGATAGAATTTTAAATATATTATTGAGAGATCCAGATCCTAACTCTGGAATGTTCTATGGTGTCTTTATCAAGAAGTATAATTTCGAGCTGAAACCCAGCAGAATGGAGATCGTCTGGAACCACAGAAGCTAGGGAAGTACAGAGATATGCTATCTATTTGGAGATCATGGGGTCAGAGGAATCGTATTTTAGAGTGTAGAACACATTGTTAGGTCTGAAGTTACCAAAGCAGAAAATAAGCCATACTTGTAATCATTCTTGAACCAGTCTATTGATATGCATTATTAGGAAAAATATAGAAATAAAATCTGTTCTTGATCTACTGTATCTCTTTTGAGAGCTATTTTGTTTTTTGAATTCTTATTAAAATCAATGCTTCTCTAATTCTGGGCAACACCAAAGAACCATATATTTCATTATAACTTAATTGATATAAATGGTGTTCTAGAGAAAGCTCATCTGGTTCCAATTCCATCTCTTCCACTTATTAGCTGTATGACTTTTGGCAATTTACTTTGCCACTCAGTGCCTCAGTTTCTTCATCTGTAAAATGGGGAGTAAAAATGATCTATTTCATAGTGAAGATTAAATGAGTCAAAACTTTTAAAATACAAAAGCCCATAGTAAGTATTCCATGGAGGTTAGCTTTTAATATTCATTAAATGTTGCAGTTAGGAGACGTGAGCAAGGTTTGCAATGTCATAAACCCACATAGCTGGGACTCTGATAGTCACCTATAACACAGAAGGGCTTTCGGGCAAACCTCAGTCTTCCTTGCCATCCCCTGTAGCGACAACAGCAACCCGCAGACCAGATTCGAATGATGAACTCCAAACCGAAGACGACAATCATCACGAACTCCTAAAATATCAGACAAGACATGTCAGAGGGAAGCATGACAGAACAAACCATAGCAAAAACATTGGTAATGTCTAAAATGAACGACATCCTTTCTCCACATCTAACCAAAACTGAACAGCATCAAAGCTTCACTTGTCTGCACTTCCTATCAAGGAATGAGATTTCTTTTCAAGTCACTAACGAACTGCAAATATAAAGGTCATTTTTAGTACTAAATGTGTAGGCCGATTAATGGCTCTATCTCATCTGAAATAGTAAGTATAGCTGACCTTAGCTACTCAAAAACATGAGATAGCTGAGTGAAATGAGTGGACCTTGAAATATGATTGCAAATTCAACAGAGAACAGAGCTTCATTTTGCTGCGAAGGCTGACATAATCCCTGAATCTTTAAGAATTGTTGTTCTCAGACTAAAAGAAATAAATATTGAGAAGTATACCAAGTTCCTTTGTTATGGTCTCAAAGTCTCCTTACAAAACAGTGCACCTCAGAAGCAAAACTGTGTGTGGCATGTGTCCATTGCCAGAAGTGAGACTCCGAATCCGCCGGATCTGAAGCTTGTTAATTATTGTGCTGCCCTTTGGCAACAGCTGGAAAACAACACCTGTGCCAGCAAAACGACTTTGAGATTGTTTAGGAAGAATTGTGAGTTAACCCTGGGGAAAGGCCAGCAAAAGTGGCTCATTAAACAGTCAGTCACAGAATGAAAAACCAAACAGAATTTGTAAACGGAAATTGTCTCTGGAGCCAGCTTAGCACAGTCGTTTGTCCCTAGAGGGACAGGTCCAGGGTTTATAAAAATTGCTTTTCTTTAAAAAAAATTCCCTTTCTTGTTTTTCAACAAGAATTGACTCAGTATTTATAATGCAGAATATTTATTAATTGATTTTTATTATAATGGCTTAATTATAAAAGTGATACATGTCTTTATTAAAACTTTTAAATATCACAGAAATATAGAGCATTATAGAAAGTAAAGGTTCTAACCCACTCCCCACTGTCTCACCCCATTCGTAAGATAAAAACTGTTACCAAATTTGTGGAAATGGCATTTTGTTGCAAGTTTCAGGCAATTGTCTGTTTCTTTAGTTAGAGTGCTTGGTGACATGTTGCACTTCTGAAATGCCCGGTAGAGACACAGCATCCATCCTTCTATTATTTTGCTCTCTACATAAATATTTCTCATGATGGGAAATAAATCTCCCATATCCTTGCTGCTTACTCACAGGACTTAAAACTATGTATAGAATCTTCTATGCACAGAAAACCAAAATTGCAGTCATTATAGTTACTCATTGATTACCTGCACGTTTTATTTAGTTTTCATTTTGGTTTTGGATGCATATCTGAGTAGTTGAGTCTACTTGTTTATTAGTGTGTCAATGTATCAGATCACCTGTTTTAAATCCATGTTTTTTTCCAAATGCACACGTGGCCGTGCCTGGGCCCAACGTCGGTTTAGCAGCAGGTCCATTTATTTTCTTATTCTTCCCCTTAACTCCTACTTATACCAGGAAGTTTGGCACTCCAGTTGTGAGAGATAATGTTATGAAGGATACCCAAGAAAACCTGAAATGTGGCATATGCAAATTCTTTATTCAGTGTCCATTGTTCAGGAATATTGCTTGCTGATTTTTGTTTTGTTTTTAAAAGAGATTAAGGGAAAATGAATGAAGCAAAAACTGGTAGAGCTGAAAAGGGAAATACAGAGATTCAAATTGTATTTGGGAAATTCATCATTCCCTTTTCTCAGAGCTGCTGAAATAGAACTAGTGGAAAGCAAAGCAGCAAGTTTACAGAATATTCGAATATAATGGTAACTTATGGGATTTAACTGGTAGATAATTAAACCTAAGAGTTCAAGGCCAGTCTGGACAGCATAGCAGGACCTCATCTGAATCCAAACATTCCACCCAACAGCAGCAGAGAACACATCTTTTACATATTTTTTCTTGGTATAATTTTTCCATTCTTTTTCATTTTGATTTAAGATAGATGATATCCTGAGGCCATAAACAAACTTCAAACAATTTAAAAGAATGAAATCATGATACCGTGTTGTTGGATGACAATACAATCAAATTAGAAATGAGTAACAGAAATATAAGCGCATTTCTAAATGTGAAAATAAAGTAACACATTTCTAAGTAATTCATTAGTCAAAAAGAAAGTCTCAAAGGAAATTACAAAGTACATAAAACTGTAAGAAAATGAAAATACATCCAAATATGTGAATGCAGTTAAAGAGAGTGTAAATTTGTAGTATTAAATGATCATCACAATAGAAACAAGGAGAGGTCTCAAGTGAATGATTCAGGATCCCAGCTCAGGAAATTAGAAACAGAAGGATAAAAGAAAGCAAAAGAAGGAAATAATGCAGATAAGAATATATTCATAATATTAAAAATAAGAAAACAAAATCCATGAGACAAAAAGCTGGTTCTGTGAAAAAAAAACCAATAAAATGGATAATTCTCTAGAAAGCTGGCAAAAATCACCAGTATATGAGATTTAATAGAGTATATCACTACAGATACTGCAGCTATTAAAACTAATAAGGGAATTCTATGAATAACATATGTACATAAATTTGACAAGCTAGAAGACAGGGATCAAATCCATGAAAACCAAACAAAGAAGAAATAGATGATCTGAATAGTCCCATAACCTCTAAAGAAGTTGGATCTGTAATTAAGAAGCTTTCAAAAAAGAAATTCTCGGGCCAAATAATTTCACTGTTGAAATCAACAAGATATTTAAAGAAAAACTATGTGAGTTTCATACAGTTTGTTTCAGAAAACAGAAAAGGAGAAAACATTTCTTTATTCATTTTTTAAAGCAATAGGAGTCTTTAATAGGGGGACAAAAGAGAGCAATAGAAGGCGAATATGATCAAAGTACATTATATATACGCATGAAAATATCATAATGAAACATTATTTTGTACAATTACCATATGCTAATAAAAAAGGAAAAAAAACTGCTAAAAAAGAGATGAGATCTTGCTATGTTGTCCAGACTGGCCTTGAACTCCTAGGTTCACACAATTATCCTCCCTCAGCTTCCTCAATACCTGGGACCACAGGCACATGCAACTGTACCTGGCTAGAGATAATACAAAAATAAAACAAAAAAAAAACCCATAAATGATATCTCTGTTGAACCTAGATGCACAAATCCTGAGTGAAATATTAACAAACTGAACCCACTGAGATATAAGAAATATGTAACATATGCAAGTAGGATTTATTCCAGGAATGTAAGTCTGGTTAAATGTCTGAAATCAATCCAGGGAATGCATTTTATCAAACTAAAGAAGAAAAACAAATCATATAACCACATCAGTTGATGCAGATGAAAAATCTTTCACACAACTCAATACCCATTCACAATAAAATCAAGTTAGGAATAAAGGCTGACTCCCTCAATTTGGTAAATATTATCTATAAAAAAGCCTATAGGTAACATCACATTTAATGGTAAAAATGAATGCCATCCTCTAAAATCAAGAACAAGTAAAGATGTCTACTTTCATTACTGTTACTCAAGATTGTACTAAAAGTTATCATTATTGTAATGAGACAAATAAAAGGTACAGTTTGAAAAGTCAAATGAAAAAGGTCTCTATTTTCAGATGATGTGATTGCTATAGAAAAAAGTCTCATGAAATCTGCAAAAACACTCTTAGAACTAATAAGTGAGTTCAGTATGGTTGAAGGATATATCATCAATATGCAAAAGATAATCACATTTTGTATATTAAGTGAGCATGATGAAACCAAAATTATAAGCACAGTATTTTCTACTATTCGAAATAAAAATAATACATAGATACTCACTTAGCAAAACATGTACAATTTTACATGCTAAAAATTACAAAATACATATGAAAGAAATAAGAGAAGGCTTAAATAAGTGGGGAGAAACACTGTGTTCAAAAATTAAAAGACTCAGCAAATTGAGTAAAAATTGATCTGTAGGTTTGATGAAATTTTTATCAAAATCTCAGCAAAGCTTTTTAAAGATACAAATAAATATTCTAAAATTTATATGGAAAGTCACAGGCCCTAGAGTATCTAAAACAATCCTGATAGAGAATAATAAAACAAAAGGAATTACTTTACCCAATAGTAATGCCTACTATGTGGCTTCTGTAACCAAGATTGTGCAGTAATGGCAGAGGAATGGCCATATTGAAAAATAGATCAGACTCAAGAACTCAGAAATTGTGTCACATAAATATACTCAACAGATTTTTGTTAAAGGCACAAAAGCATGTCCATAGAGGAAGAACAGCCTTTCAACAACCAAGCTGGAGAAATTTGACATCCACTGGAAAGGAAGGAAGGAAGGAAGGAAAGAAGGAACCTAATCTTAAACCTTGTAGAAGAATCAATAATAAAGATCATGGCTTTAAATATTAAACCTAAAACAATAAAAATTTCAGTGAAAAATATAAGAGAAGATTTAGGGGATTTAGCTTAAACAAAGTTTTTACTTTACATTAAAAGCACAAATAATAAAAGGAAAAACCCATAAATTAGATTCCATCAAAACTGAACCCTTTGGTTCTATGAAAGCCCATGTACAGAGGGTGAAAAGACAAACCATAGACTCGAAGGAAATTCAACATACAGTAGAAAATTGAAAATTCAATTGTAAAATTGACAAAAGATATGGATAGGGTATTCAAAGTAGAGGGTATACTCTGAAGTGGATACACAGATGACAAGTAAGCACATGAATAGATATTCGACATCATTAGCCATCAGGGAAATGGAAATCAAAACCACAATGATACAGTACTACACAGTTATCTGAATGGCTAAAATAAAAAAATAGTGTCAAAAATAACAGCAACACAAAACATGAAGAGGATGCAGAGAAGCTGGATCACTCAAACATTGTTGGAGGGAATGTAAAATAGTACACTCCCTCAACAAAACAGTATTAAACATACATTTGCCTTAGCACTCAGCCATTGTTCTCTTGAGCATTTCCACTAGAGAAATAAAAATTTATCCTACTACAAAAACTGGTACATGAATGTTCATAGCAAACTTATTCATAATGACTGAAAACAACTCAGACCATGAAGATATTAAACAAGCTGTGTATGGGATAGTCATATTATGGGTTACTATTCAACAATAAATACGAACGAACTATTGATAAATATGACAACTTGCATAAATAGCTAGGGAATTAGGCTGATTGATAAAAAAGCAGTCCCAGTAGGCCACATACCATTAAGTGCACTTACACCACTTTTTTGAAGTGGAAAATTCTAGAAATGGAAAAGAGACTAGTGGCTGATAGGAGCTGTAGGGGTTGAGGGGAGTAGTGAGCAAATGGCAATGGAATTGTTCAGAATCCTGAGTGTTCTGAAAAGTCCACAAATCTCCACATGGGATAAAATTCTACAAAACTAAATACACACATACAAATGTGTACAAGTAAAACTGGAGAAACCTCAATAAGATCTGTGATCTTCACTAACATTATTATCCTTGTTACGTTCTTAGAGTATAAGTTTTAAGAAATGTTCCCATTTGGGGAATTGGGAAAGTGTATACAGGCTCTCTCTTTTATTTCCTACAACTGCATGTGACTCTACAATGATATCAATACAAATTTCAGTGAAAAAAAGCCATTGCCAGCAATCTAGTCCAGGGGATTGATTCAAAAGAGGAAATGTGTTCAAGTCCAGAGGCCGATCTTGCTGGTATTGGTTCAGTGGTGCTCTCTAAGTCACCCTTTGAATGGGGAGTCTTCTTATTTTTTATTTTCAAATGAGTTAGAAACCTGTTACATTTAGTTGAAATGATCCAGATGAATGGTAGTTCTGACCCTTGCTTGTCCAGCCAGGTTCTAGTGCCTTTGCTGCTGTGCCTCAGGGTAAGTTGAACCAAATTGCCCTCTGTGTACTTAAATGGCCATTGAAGAGTTAGAGAATAATATTCTAAGTAGTTGATCTGCTTGGGGGAAAGCAGTAATGTAAAGCTGGTTTTATTGGTATTGGTTCTTCCTTATTGAAGCCCTTAGAAGCTTAGCTTTGACAGTCCTCTGTAGAACCAAAGGCAACATTCATTATTTTTTTTCTTTTTCTCTCTTTTGTAAAAATCAGTGCATAGTAATTGTTTGAAGGGGTTTCATTGTTATATTTCTATGCATGTCTATAATATACTTTAATCAAATTCACTCAATATTTATTATTTTTATCACCTGCCTTGAAGCAGTTCTAGATTTCATCCTTCACATAATTTTGGTATTCCTCTTTAAGACTCTGGATAGGTATACAGAAGTTAAGAATCCTAAGAGGCACTGGTAGAGCTAGTCTTGTATTCTACCTAGATATCTATTGAGACAGTTCTTTCTGTATTAATGCTCCTTTTCAGATACTAAGGTGATCTCTTCATATGTCACCACAAAGAACTGTGACAATATTTCATTGGTAAATATGACTGTGTTCTATCAGTTGAGATTTAAATTCCATTCATGAAGTTTTTCTGTTTCCTAGATACTTGAAGTGTTTTTAGGTGAAGATTGATTATTTTTTGGTACAAATTCCCATTGCCTAAAAGCACATGTTCTTGTTGTTTTCTGATTAATTAACAGCACTGTTCATTAAAACACAGTGACCTTTGTCTAATCTACAAGCTGTCTGCTGTGACTATTAGTTTTTTTCTAGCTTTATGTCATCAAATAATGTTTTTGTGAAGATGAATTGCTGAAATTAGAAAACCCATGATATTTGCACCAATTCTTGAAGAGCTGTGGCTAATTAGACATACAAAATCGAAACTATTGCTTTTATTCAGAATATCAACATATTCAATTTCCAGCTATTTTTGCTCCATTTTTGTGTATGTGTATAAAGAAGCACCAGGCTAGCTGACCAGCTTGCTTCCTACACAACAGCAGCAGTAAAAGAACTTGTGATGTAAATTGTGTTGTTAACTGCAAAGAACGGCATCAGTCATAAGGGTTGCAGTTATTTGTCTTTGTAATTTGGGTAATTCTAATAGTGTAACATGTATTAAGGAAATGAAATGAAGCTCTATAAATGGTTCCTCAATCAAATTGGAATGTGGAAATAAATACGCAAAAGAAAATCATCTTTTGGAATTTTATCTTTTTGTACAGCAGAAAAATATCCTAAAACATGCTTAGTAGTCAATACTTATGTGACATAACATACCATCATCAATCTGTCTTTCAAACTTCTTACGTTTTGGAAGATGTATTGATGTAATGGAGGAAGAATTGGACTGGTTAGCCTTGGAGTTGAAGACACATGGGTACCTTCAGAATCATGCCTACATGGTGAGAGCTTATGCCAGAACTTTACTGAGGTGCTTAGTAGACACTGCAGTGGGGAGGGCGGGAAGGAGGATCTAAAGTGGGAGTGGGTAGGGAATGGGGGAAAGGAGAACAGTATATGAAGGGGTAATGATGCTCCCTGCCTTGGGAAGCAATGCTTGAGAGAGGCTTGAAAGACTCATATTTATATACATGTGTGTGTGTGTGTGTGTGTGTGTGTGTATAAAACTGAGGCTGCCTCACTGCCTGGACAGCTTAGGAAGACATTGATGGGTGAATTATTTTGAATAGCACCAACAAAATCCAGTGCCTCTGTAGATCTCTCTTTTGGTCAGTTGATTCTTGAAATTCCCCTGTACATGTTTTATCTCTTCAAATTTTCACATGTGTTAAAATGTAAGTCACTTTCATTTAGCCCCATCTATAGGACACATTTATTTATCCTCAAGGTTCTTCAGAGGCACAAAGAAAATGTAGAAGTTTGAAAATACCCTTTAAGTCCAAATGACTGATTGACACTTTGTTACCAAGGAAGGATGAGGCAAATTTTTATCAGGTATTGTGGCCAGAGTTTGAGGCCATTTGAGTCAAGGGTAGGAAGTAGATGTCCCTTTCTTTCTTCCCTGTTGGGAACAGTGGCTTCTCTTAAGAACTGTGTGTACTATCTCTCCAAATATATGACTGACAATTTAAAACTGCCACCAGTAATAAAATTAGGCCATTCGTTTAGATTTTAAGCAATTTTAATGTGTTTCATTGTTCTGTTTTTGTACACACATATAATGTACTTTGATAATATTCACACTCTTTATTTATTTTCATGCTAGGGATCAAAACCAGGGTCTTGCACACTGCTAGACAAGTACTCTACCACTGAGCTACTCCCCCAGCACAATCTTTTAGTTTTATAATAATAAGACATGCAAGTCCAATGACTTCTCTTAGTTATGAAAATTTAAGTTTAAAACTTAAGCTACTTATAAAATTTTAAGGAAAATGTCGTAAAACAAACAAATGATGTATTTCAATCAAGAGATACATCCTTGGGATGGCTTCTATGCCACCAAGAGGCCAATAGTCAGGTCAGGACTGGACATACCTTGGAGAATTTCAGAACTTTTTATACTTTTCTTACTTGGGAGTTATGTCTCTGACCTTACAACTGCCTTTTTCTGGACCAAATACATTTCTTTTATACTGAAAGATCTTTTGAGTTCCAGAAAATCTGTCCTTCCCTCTTTCTTTACATTATTTGCATTGCTTAGTATAATTAACTGTTGCACAAGTTTACTTTATTTCTAGGGTTCTGCTTCTTTCGAATTCACTCTACAAATGTACATTGAATGCAACAACCATGCAAGATGAACATGTGTTCTCTATCCTCGAGGAGTTCACAAGCTATTGGGGGATAAGTCACACATACCAAAGAATTCACAGAATGATGTGTCATAGTGCTGCTCAAGTGGTGCTCTTTGAGAAACTGCTTATCCATGGTAGTCATTCCTCCGTGTTAGGCAGGCCCTTGCTAAAGGTTGAAGTTGCCTTCAGTTACGGTTTTAGGCTCAGCAAAACCCAATTAGCAGACTGTTTTATTAATCTATTCAGATAAAATTCTGAAAAAGAGCTAGTAGATATTGAAAAATTGGAGTAAGTTAATTGGACTATGAGTTTTTGCTAACCTCCTTCTTTAGCTTTTTGACATTAACTACAATGAGAAGGTGAATGGATTCCTTTCTATTGCAAGAGATGTCTTGATGTGAGTGTGACTTTATTTTGGTTAATCTAAGCTGTACAACAATTAGTGAGTTCACCTCCTGTAATTTATGCCAATGACCAATTTTATTTTTATTTGGGGTCATCTGATATTTCTTCTCTTTTTACTAGAATTATAGAATTTTTTTCCCCTATATACCACAGTTCTTGAGACAGACTTGAGGAAGAAAGAGTTTATTCCTTTTCTTATTCTTTTTGGTAGTTACTGGGCTTCAAATTCAGGGTCTTGCTCTTGCTAGGCAGGTACTCTACTGCTTAAGCCAGGCCCTAAGACTTTTTTTACTTTAGTTGTTTTTCAGAATGGGTCTTTTGTTTTTTCCCCCAGGGCTGGGCCTCAGACTGTGATCCTTCTATTTATGTTCCCTGACTAGCTGCAGTGACAGTCCTGAACCACCACACCTGGCTTATTCACTGAGATGGAGCTTCACTAACTTTTTGCCTGGACTGGCCTCTAACATCCATGTTCCCCTGATCTCTACCACCTTCTAAATAGCTTAGATTACAGGCATAAGCCTCCATGCCTGGTCTTGTTTTTTTCCATCCCTCACTCCCTCCCTTCTTTCTTTTCTTTTTTTTTTTTTTTTCTCAAGCATTTTAATGCAAAAAATGGAATTTCAGGTGGAGCCAAAGTGGCTACTGAAAGTCAAGCAAAAATATGGGTTTTATCTACTCAGTCATGAGGAAGGCAGAACTTGTGCTGTTAGAGGGCTGATCCCTGAGATCCTCAAATGCTGCACTGTCAGTGGGATTGTAGTCACAGGAGAAAAGGGGCCAGGTAGTGTTGCAGTGCAATGGAATCAGATACTTTCTTTTAAAAAGTTTTCCATACCCTAGGTTTCATTGTAGACCTTCATATGCCACCAGTAGAAGGAGAAATCCCCATGATTTCCTGGGTCACTTGATCCCCTTCCTTCTGGACCTCCTGGTAAAACAGAAATCATTTTGATTCAAAGCCTGGACTTACTTTCCTCCTCTCTTACTTCTGTTGATGTTTTTCCTTTATAAGCACCGAAGTGCATTTTATTACCTAAGACTATATATTTCCCCATTACTATAGTATGTGTTATTTGCGTTAATGTACTCTGTGTAAACATAATATGTGTTGGTAACTTTTTAGAAAAGTCCCTCTTGTTTATATTGCATGTGCACCTGTATGTTTAAATGCACAAAATGCTTGATGTTGGAAATCAGTCAACTAGGTTCACACACACAAAAAAAAAAGAAGAGAAAAAAGTTCAAGAATGAAAACATACAAGGAATGATATTAATAGAACTACCACCACAAATAGAAAGTGCATATTTGCTTTCAGTGCAATCTCTGATAGACATGAAAGAGTTATTCCCAAAGCACATACACTAATGGCATAGTAACAATATTCCATTAGTGACATTTTCTAAATTGGAGGAACACTTGAAGTTTTCTACCATTTTGAACATCTAGGTCACAAAGAAATTTCAATTATATGCAAGATAATTTATTTTAGTAATTTCAATTTTATTAACACTGTGAATATTCACAGTGCATCCTTTGTGAAATCTGTCATGATTTTGAGATATTTACTATGTTTCTAGACATTCATAACGATCATTCAAGATCAGTCATGCTATAAATCAAGTATACTTTTAAATTAAGATGAAAGACTATTTATTAGATAATATTGAACTGATTTAATGAGTTCTTCTGACTGTTGTTCGTTTGAACCATTAACCAATAGATTGAAAATAAATGTGTCTTAAAATCTTAAGAAAAACCTGAGATGGTTATAAAAATAAGAAACTCTCTGGGAATCTTTAGATGTTTTGGAATGATAATTGTTATTATCCCAAATTATTAGACATAGTATGTGGCAAATGTTTATCAATTTAAATTAATCGTGAATTATCCTGACAGTTTAATCTAAGCAATGAGGTGGGGGAGTGTCCCTTGTTTCAATTACAATCCATTTCTCTGTTCTGTTATTCACCAAGTCGCTTTCTTCTCTTTTCTTTTTTGGCAGTACTGGGAGTTGAACTTAGAGCCTTGTGTTGGCATAAACTGTGCAACTTGAGTCATGTCTCTAGCCCCAACAACCTACTTCCAGATCCCCCATTTGTTTTTCTGTAGTCTCCTTGTTAGAGAGAAAATGCCTTATCTTGTTATGTCCAGCCTTTATTTTAGGCAGAAGTGACTCCTGATAGAAGTCATTCCTCTTATTTGTTCATAACAGTATTCGGAATGTTACTCCTGCCATGTTTCACATCATCAACATATCTTAATTAATACACGACTGCCCACTTGCATTGATTATACACAACAACCTCTGTCATGTGATGGCTTCCATCCACAGGACGAACTGTCATCACTTGAACTGATTTGGAAAATCACTTAGTGTTGGAGAGAACTGATCTGACACAGAAACTTGAAACGCTGTTCTGCTCTCTTGCTCTTCTATTCGGTTGTAGACTTCTTCCTACCCAGCAACATGACACTTGATTTGGAGACCATGGTAGTAGTGTAATGGTATAAGAGAGGACTGATACACAGTTTAAACTAATAAAATGATCAAAGTTATGGGAATGTAGACCCAGATACTGTCTGACTTTACAGGACATAGACAAGAAGTAGGCTCTGAGCAAAAATGATAGCTTTTTAGAAGCAGAGGTTTGCCCCAGGAAAGTGCATTGCAGAAAGTGCATTTCCTACCATTTCCTAAGCAGCACGGAATGCCTGACTAGACGTAAAGTGATACAGCAGTGTCAAGTTGACCTATTGTAAAATCTAGACAAAAGCAGTCCTGGGGCAAGGTGAATTGGAAATGAATTTGCAGTCTGCCTAGAGTGAGTGGGGGGGTTGTTGGGCTACAGGAGAAAGGAGCAAGTAACCTACAATGTGGATTCTCCTCTTGAAACAAGGAGCCTTTGGAAAATTTCCTTGGTTGAAAAGGAAACAGCTCTCATCTCTCCCGTTTGAACCTCCCTTTTTCATCCTTGCTTACCTTCCCAGGCCAGCCCATGAAGCCTCTATGGAAGACATTCTGTCAGACCTCTGTCGGTAACCTACTATGCAGCTGTGTCAATCTCAGCCTTTTGTTATGATAGAAGTTCCAAGAACTGCTGTGCAAGTATGGGAACAGGGAAGACTTTGTTGCTATAGACCTCCAAGCCCATATCTTGGTAGGAGAGGAACAGAATTGCACTAAAGCAAGGTCTCTTCCCCCATACTGAAGAGCACCTGAGAGTTACAGAAGTGTAGTGTTCAATGACTAGCTTTATATAGCCGAGACTGGTAACTCATCAGAAAGCATAAATTGTTTACATTGCTGAAAGTTCTCATGGTCTACTCTGTTCTCAGTAAATACAGGTTCACTGGACTCTTATCTTCTTCAGAAGCACAAACACAAGTCATCATTTACAGTCAGACTCTACTAACACTGAATTTGTGATAATTCTATTAGAATTTAGGTAAAACTTATTTTGAGCCACTTATTTTTTTAATAATCCTCTTTTAAGAGGATTTACCAGCAAATTTAGAATAGAAATGAGAGGACGAGGTGGGGGAAGGTTTAGCATGTTTGAAAGGAAATTCTTGTCAAGATTCTTAATAGTGCTCACTTGCATTTAAACAATTAATGGAATAATTACAACTGAGCCACCTCATTAATTAAAGAAAACCCAGCAGGATCTTTATTTGGCAACAGTTTATTAAGCAGAGATTCTCTTAAGTATCAACTAACTGGAAAACTGGTAAGAGATATGCCTCCTTCCAAAGTCTAATTACACCCTTTCAATCATCTTAAATTTCCCAAACATTGAGGTTATCTCTCCAACAAACTACGACTAGCTGCAAAAATTAGAATGTAAATATGTGTTCGTCTGTCCCATAGGTGATCTGTGAAGGTAGTCCCCAAAGTAGTAGAAGTGTGGCAAGGTGGATGAGAAAGAAGTCTTTAGCTAGTCAGGGGGCTTCAGATCCATTTCAATAGCACGTTTTCACTAGTTCCTTGCTCTGAACCTGCATATTCTCCTCTGATCCTTTTCATACCTCTACAGAAAGGTACACAGGCCTGCTTACTTACCTCTTCTCCTGATGTACTGGCCTCTGAATATCTGGTAAGGCGCAAGTTTCAAGGAAGTGGAAAGCCAGTGCAGTGACTTGATTTGGATCATTAATTTGGCCCACAGTGGGATGATTAGGACAGACTACAGAAAATGCACACTACTCTATGTTTATTCATTCATTTAGCAGAGCTCAGGAGTTAGGAGCATGGAGGGGCTCTGCCACTCATGAGGCAGGTACAGTTTAATTTAACCTCTCTGTTCCTTTTCTACAAAATGGGGATGGGAAAGCAAAACATCCTTAGTAAGGTTGTTACCAGAGTTTAAATAATTGATACTTATATAGTACTTAGAACAATGTCTGATACATAGAAATCACTTTTTAACTGCTAAAATGCATCAATTCATTAAATATTTATTGAGTGTTTTCTATGTGCTTTGTTAGATTCTGGGAATAGAGAAATGACCAGAGTGAAAAATCCCTGCCCACTTGATGCTTCTAGCTCAGGAAAATGGATAGTAAAATGAGCAAGCATATTTTATAGAATGTTGGGAGGTAAGAACTCTAGGAAATAATAACAGAGGGGAAAGGTGTGAAAGAGCTGGCTGTTTTTCCACTCTTAACCAGGACATCCAAACTGAGCTTTTCTGAGCAGATTTGAAGCTATTAATGCAGTAAGTCAAGCAGCTCCCTGATGGAAGGGGCTTCTAAGCAGAGGATCAGCTGGAACAAAATCTGTGAGATATGACCCAGGAACAGAAGACCAGGCTGGCTGAATCAGACTGCATAAGAGAGAGGGGTCAGGAGTAAGGAGAAGTGGAAACAGAGGATCAGACTCCATAGGGTCTTAGGTTGCTAGAAGAACTTTGGCTTCTACTCTGAGGGAAATGAGGAGTGTGCTCCAAGGCAAAGGCCTCGGGAAGAACCAGCTTAGATTCTCTGTGTCCTTGTCACAGTTGCTTTTGTCCCTCAGCAGGTTTGGTAAAGATGGGAGAGCTCTTCAACATGAACTAGGCACCCACAGATGGTCCAGGGAGCAGAGCATGGAAACTGGGATAGGACTCATTTGTGTGTCTATTCTGAGCAGGAGAACAGGAAAGAAAGTCTAAGCTAAGAACAAGGCATTCCCCACACTTGGTAAAAACAGAAGCTTGAAAAATATAAATTTATCCTATCCTCATTAAATACTTCATAATTGTCAGAATTGTCTGTACTTCAGAAGAGTACCCAGTATTTTACTCATTGCCAAGTACAAACCCACATTCCTCTATCCTAGTTTTCAACATGGCCTTGAACTGACAGCTTACATTTGATACTGCTTATTGGCACTAAAGGACTAAAAAACAACAGATAAAAGAAGAGTCATCATATATATATATATATATATATATATATATATATTTATATATGTACATGCATCTATATCTATATCTATATCTATCTCTCTCTTTTTTTTAGACAGGGTCTCTCTATGTAGCCCAGGCTGGCCTCGAACTCACAATTTTCCTGCCTCTAACTTCTAAGACCTGAGATTATAGCATGTACCCTATACTTGATGATTTTTATGTTCTTTCTAACATAAATTTAAAGCTAGTGGCATGGCTCAAGTGGTAGAGTGCCTGCTTAGCAAGTGAAAGGCCCTGAGTTCAAACCCCAGTACTGCCAAAAAAAAAGTGCTAACATAAATTTACATAGAAATTCAGAACACCTGAAATGTTTTATTTATATATTTATAAGATATAAAACCCTACATTGCTTGCTTACCCTGTTTTAATACTCAAATTCTTCTTGGTTTTTTTTTTGTGTGTTTGTGTGTGGTACTGGGGTTTGAACTCAAGGCCTACACCTTGAGCCACTCCACCAGCCCTTTTTGGTGCAGGGTTTTTTTCAAGATAGGTTCTGATGAACTATTTGCCCAGGCTGGCTT